AGAATTCCCTGCACAGGTACGAGAAAACGTTTAGCCTTCCCAGTTCCCTAAATTTAAAAGGAGTATCTGGTCCTTTTCAATTTGAAGAAAAACTGCTACCAGACTGCTGATTGGATAGTTTAAATGCACTTGGACCTTGTTACATCACATTAGACCATTTAACAACTTTGGCCATGCAATCTATGCACACATTTGTGAACCTTTGTGTTATTTGATATATTAATTTGGATTATTTATGTTTAAGTTCTATGTTAGTTATAATTTTCAATTGATTATGTTTTATTTAAATTATAGTTGTTATGCTTAAGTTGCTCTTTATGTGGGGTTATCTTGGGTTTTTATATTTGTATTTACTGTTATTGAGGCATCGAATGTTTGCCTTTTTGTTTGTTGGAATCTGCCCTGAGTCTCCCAGAGGAAATAGGGTGGAAAATAAATAAAGTTATTATTATTATTATTATTATTATTATTATTATTATTAATCCTAGTTCCAGGAAGTAAGTGAAGAATACAGACAAATTTATGTATACATTCAGTGTTCCATGTCCATGGATTAAAAAAGAAAAAAGCAAACCTTGATTTTACCAGTATGTATAAAGTACACCATTTTACTAGGCTAATGGGGCTTGAGCATCCACAAATTTTGATATCAAGGGGAGGAGGGGTCCTGGAATTGGATACCAAGGGCCAACTATTCTTAAAATATCAGCTTAATAGAATCTGTTAACCAATGTACATTTAGAATCTTGGATGTTGTTGCTTAGGGTTTTTTTCTTCCTAAATAAGTAAACCATCCAATTAGCTAGACTAGTATGTTATTTTAACTGCAGAATATAGGGATGCGGGTTTTCAATGTTCAGCAGCCTGAGACAGAATTTCTAACCACTTTTGCTTTTGTGGTTCCAGGTTAAGTCTGAAGAGGAGTTCCAGTGTGAGCAAGAGGATGTCCTTGCCTCCGCCTGGCAGCCATCCAGCCCCCGAGACAAGCTACTTCATTACCCTAAGTTTTCAAGCCCCGGAGCCTGTTCTGATTTTGACTGAGGCCAGCCACCACTTGCCTGAACTCTAAAGGAGATTCTATACATCACTTACATCTGTTGCTTCCCACCAATTTGTCAGATGACACTGAAGGAGCACATGCTCATTTTCCAAGGACAGAAGGAGATGGAGTATAGAAATTCAACACACCTACTGCACACCAAACTCAATTCCACACCGAGTGGAAAAATCAAATGGCAGTATGAACTGTACTGGGACATTTAAGAAATAGCCTAGAAGTCAGTAGTAGTACGGAAACCACTATGTATACTGAGTAGTTTGCCCCACTGTAACACCTTCGCAGTGTGTGGGATTTTAACTCCTGCTGTTGCCAGCCAGCATGTCAAAGGCAGAAGACGGTAGGAGCTGTAGTCCCACATAGCTGGAGAGAATATTGTATTAAATGAAGGGATTTTGTTTCACATGTCTGAAATCTTAATGTAGGATACCGGGTGGGAATGGGCACTTATTGGCCAGGTTTTATGTATATTTAATGTTGTAGTGGATGTGTTGGAAAAGAGAGTGGTGCTGCTTGAGTCATTAAGTGTTCAGTCTCTCATCTGTTGTCCTTTTTGTAAGAAATGATGTCTAAACAAAAGGGGAGGTTGTATCTGGCATCCACAAGTTCCTCTGAGAAAGTAGCTGAGGAAACATCATTGCTGTTCCATGTGATAATGTTCTCTAGAGACTTGCCTTCTAACAGCTAAAGTCGCTGCTGAGGGAGAACTGGTCTCCAATGGCCTTCATTGTCAAGGCAAGATTCTAAGGTGTGTCTCCTGACCAGTCTCACTAAGGACACATTATTACAGACATTTGGATTTAGCTCCCACTGGCTGTGGAGGTATTTATTCCCAACAATACATGAAAGAATCCCATCCCTGGCCTGCACTGGTTGTTTGAGTGGAAGTGATGGGACCTGCAATCCAGCATCACTGGAGAACATCAGCTTTGGAAGAACTGGCATCATGGCGGCTTGCATTAAACGAGTCAGTTCCGTACCAATAAAAGCAAAGCTTTGCAGCCTGTATTGCTTATGTCAGTTTATCAAAGTTGTCAGTGTTTCAGTTTTTTCTTCTGTTAGTTATAAGAAAAGACATTAAAAACATTTCATATTATTTTTTTCTACATGTTTTCTGACCTCTTTTTAAAACCATAAGGACTAAGTTCAATTTCTTAAACCTACGACAAATATCCTGGAAAATACTTTTGCTTCTAAATCACGGTTTGAAAATGGCCAATGTAGATTTGGTATTTATATTTATTTATGGTATCAGAGGTGAACCGAGGGTACAGTTGTAATGTATTTTTAAAAAACACACACAGTTTAAATACTTGGCATTATACTAAATGTCCTTTGACCAGTAGCTGGCCACTTGTGTTGCTGAAAGAAGGTCCTCCATTGTGCATGTGGCAGGGCTCAGATTGCATTGTAGGTGGTCTGTGGTTTACTCTTCTCCACACTCGCATGTTGTGGACTCCACTTTGTGGCCCCATTTCTTAAGGTTGGCTCTGCATCTCCTGGTGCCAAAGTACAGTCTGTTCAGCGCCTTCCAAGTCACCCAGTCTTCTGTGTGCCCGGGGGGGAGTCTCTCATTCAGTATCATCTATGACTTGAGGTTCCGGGCTTTAGCCTGCCACTTTTGGGCTCTGGCTTGATGAGGTGTTCTTGCAAATTTCTCTGTAGATCTTAGAAAACTATTTCTTGGTTTAAGGCACTGGCGTGCTGGTTGATATCCAAACAGAGGATGGGCTGGAGATGTCACTGCCTTGCTGCTTCCCGGTGGATGTCAGGTGGTGAAATACCGGCTATCCAGTGGTATGGGGCATAGACATCATGTGATAATACGGCATGTCTCATTAAGAGTCACATCCACCGTTTTAACGTGGTGAGATGTGTTCCACACTAGGCATGCATATGCAGCAACAGAGTAGCAAAGTGCAAAGGCATATTCCAGTGGATAAAAATCAGATTAATGATGTGGGGAAATGGCAACACCCTTAGTATTAAGGAACAAGGCAGCTTTAATGCATGCTCAACTTTGTAATGTGTTTTTATTATCAGAACTAAGCCATTTTATATTTTATGTAAAACCACCAATTTTATCCTGTTTGTTTCAGTAGCCACATTTATAATGAGGTAGAATGTTGAAACAACTGAGAGTTACACATGTGTCCTGCTGCAAGGTTATCTGGAAGCAGTTCCCAACATGTTTTCTGTGCATCTCTGAAGCATGCCACCAACTTCTTCCTCCCATTGCCATATTCCCCACTGCACTGCCCTAGAAATGTGATTAGTTCAAAGAAGAAACAAACTCTGATTTATCATCTGTTAACTTTTCTCAAGAAAACTAAAAAGTATACATTCTCTTGAAGTAAGAAACCAAGCTACCTAAATGGTTAAGTTTCTTGACATGTTCAACAAAGAAGCAGATTGGTATGGACAGTGTCCAAGCAATATGCAACCCATCTAGGGGACGTATCTACGAAACATTTTTGCCCTCTGGGTGTTTTCAAATCCAAGTACCATAATCCCTTTCTACTGAGCGTCCTGGCATCGGCTTTTGGGAGTTGGCATTGCAAAGGTTTCCGAACTCTGTTCCGAGACAAAGACTGCAGAGTCTGTTTGTAATTTAACAAGTTTATTACATCCTCAAAATACATGTACAAGAAAGGGTAGCGATAGCTTTCTGTGCCAGTCATTCTTAGAGATTCTTCAGCCAATCGAGGCTTGGGCCTTCCTTATCGCAGGGATGGGAGGGAATATCTGGCATGTTGCCATCATCCCGAACAGGAACTAAGGACACAAAAGAGAGGGACAATCAAATAAGTGGCCATGCCTTTGGATTCAGCTGCAGCCTGATACAGTTAAGTACCTCTGGGAGAGGGGTGGAGGGCATTAAAATCATTTCTCTGAATGCAACACTGTAAAGAATGTGATGTCACAAAGCAAAAACAGCCTAAGTAGTTGTCCAAAAACTTCCGAATATCACATCTTTCCAAAAGCATTAATAACCAGGATAACCTTCTTTTGGAGCGGTTGGGGCGAGGGGAGAATATGGGCCCTCAAATCAAATTTCCCTTCCTTGGCCAAATATCTAGCATTGCAGTTATTTAAAAGTACAGCTGAGTATTTACACCTACAGTTTAGGTCTCCAAAGAAAAGGGGCATGCAAAAACGACCAAGGATATGCTAGCAAAGTAAATGGGAGTCCTAAATATGAATAATTTTCAATACTTCAGTCTGCAAGCTAAAAATTTAGGGACTAAAGGATTTTTATTTATTTGCAGAGATATAATTACTTCATTTCTCACCAACAGACATATTCCTTTCAAGAAATAGTTTTCCCTCCTTAAATATTAGGTCACTTTTCTGTTATCCCCTAAAATTCAGAAGCCACATTTGAAACAAACACTATAAGTTTGATTGTACCTGGATACGCATATGGCATAGCTTCGATGGCCATGGCGGTGTATTTAGTGTAGGGACTGACCCAGGGTAGTATTACAGCTGAAATGAAGAAAGAGAAAACAAAGATCTGCATCAGAAAAGAATTATCTATAAGATATTGGAGATCTGTCTAGCTCAGTGTTCTTCACATTCATTGAGAAAAGTAGTCCAGTTTCAAACAGTCATCTTCCCTAGCCTTGCCACCTTGTATAGGCAAAGGACATGCTCTTATCACCGAGCCATAACCCTTCCCTGATGGAAAAGTAGTGCTGTGCGGTCAAGGCAGGAAACAGATAGAGAGCAGTAAATTAAGTTCTGGAGAAATGGCTTGAAGAGCTATGAAACAGCACCTTTGCTAAAGCCAAGTAGTCTGATTCATGTAAGGACGCAGAACAGAAAAGTGAACATCTATGTGCTGCCTCTAGTCCCACAATGGAAGGAAATGGGATGCTATTAAAGATTTCTGAGCCACAGGGAAATACATGAACTCACCTACAAAACCAAGGGCACAGGAGACCACGATCACAGGCTCCTTTGCCCATGCGTTCTTCAGATACGCGCCAACTTCTATAGGACAGACAAAAAAGAAACATACACTACTTATAATATTTATTTTAAAAAACACCTGGGTCTCTGGCAACAGATGAAGGAGTCCTAATACATAAAAACAGGTGAAAATTAGAGTGATAAATGCCCTGGAGAAAGGAACACTGTGGGATCTTTTATCTGTGGGACAAAAGTGCTGGTCATCTACCTTTAAACCCCTAAACCAGTGGTTCTCAACCTGTGGATCCCCAGATGTTTTGGCCTTCAACTCCCAGAAATCCTAACACCTGGTAAACTGGCTGGGATTTCTGGAAGTTGAAGGCCAAAACACCTGGGGGCCCACAGGCTGAGAACCACTGTCCTAAACAGTTTGTGTGTGTCTATATCAGTCATGGGCAAACTTTGGACTTCCAAGTGTTTTGGACTTCAACTCCCACTATTCATAACAGCCTCAGGCCCGGTGGCGCAGTGGGTTAAACCCCTGTGCCGGCAGGAGACCGACAGGTCGCAGGTTCGAATCCGGGGAGAGGCGGATGAGCTCCCTCTATCAGCTCCAGCTCCTCATGCGGGGACATGAGAGAAGCCTCCCACAAGGATGATAAAACATCAAATCATCTGGCGTCCCCTGGGCAACGTCCTTGCAGACGGCCAATTCTCTCACACCAGAAGTGACTTGTAGTTTCTCAAGTCGCTCCTGACATGACAAAAAAAAAGTTTCAATCCTTTATTATAATTATAATTATTATTATTATTATTATTATTATTATTATTATTTGAAACACAACAAGATGAGTCAGACAAGATCACTCTGCTGGCTGTTGTATTGTATCACACGTCGGACACTTCCCAAGTGTCTAGGACTGTGTGATGTATCGGCAAATAATGCAGTGCAGATCCCAGTAAGGTGGCCTTTTGCAGCTGGCAGATGGTAATCTTGTCAGCGCCGATTGTGTTTAAGTGCAGGCCAAGGTCTTTAGGCACTGCACCCAGTGTGCCGATCACCACTGGGACCACCTTGACTGGCTTGTGCCAGAGTCTTTGCAGTTCGATCTTTAAATCCTCATATTGTGTCAGCTTTCCAGTTGTTTCTCTTCAATCCTGCTGTCACCTGGGAGTGCAACATGGACAATCCATACTTTGTTTTTTAACACGGTTGTGAGGTCAGGAGTATTGTGCTCCAAAACTCTGTCAGTCTGAATTCAGAAGTCCCAGAGTAGTTTGACGTGTTCACTCTCTGTAACTTTTTCCGGCTTGTGATCCCACCAGTTCTTTGTCGCAGGCAGATGGTATTTGTGGCACAAGTTCCAATGAATCATATTATTATTATTATTATTATTAATAATAATAATAATAATAATAATAATGTTCCCTTTTCTCTCCTAAAGATACACCCAGCAAGCGAGAGTCCAAAAGTGGCAGGCTCAAACCCAGAACCTCAATCAATGGCTGATACCAAATGAGAGACTCCCCCCGGGCACACAGAAGACTGGGCGACTTGGAAGGCGCTGAACAGACTGCGCTCTGGCACCACGAGATGCAGAGCCAACCTTAAGAAATGGGGCTACAAAGTGGAATCCACGACATGCGAGTGTGGAGAAGAGCAAACCACTGACCACCTGCTGCAATGCAACCTGAGCCCTGCCACATGCACAATGGAGGACCTTCTTGCGGCAACACCAGAGGCACTCCAAGTGGCCAGATACTGGTCAAAGGACATTCAATCAACTACCAAGCTTGCAAATTCTGTGTTTTGTCTGTTTGTTTGTTTTTGTTAAAATGTAATACAAATGTCTGGTTGCTGATGACACGAAATCCTAACGATTCAAGGAAGTGAATAGCGCAATATACAATTTGATAAACTTAAAGACTACACACAACGAAATAGAATTAAACCTAGAGCTACCTTAAAATGGACCCTTAAAATTATGAACACCTATTTGAAATACATTAAAGGCCACACAACATCCCCTAGCTCAAAGGCCCTTCCACACAGCCCTTTATCCCAGAATATCAAGGCAGGAAATCCCACATTATCTCAGTGTGGACTCAGATAACCCAGTTCAAAGCAGATATTGTGGGGTTTTCTGCCTTGATATTAGGATATAGGGCTGTGTGGAAGGGCCCTCAGTCTTCAAAGCGTTCAAGCAGGTCATCCTTTCAACGCCCTTGCCCTTCCTTCTCCACCCAAAACCAACACTCCTCCAAATATATATATATATTGAGATGCCCCCCAAAGCTTTTATTCCCTTATTCAAGCGGAGGGGTTCTTAATCTGCTAGGAAATGCATTGACCCACCAACCCCTGAACAAGCAAGTATTAGATGCATTGCTCCTGCACTTACTGCTGAGCCCCGACATCTTGCAATCAAGGAACCGGAAACGCAAAGAATTCTGGGAACTGTAGTTTTGTAGTCTCTCTCTGTGTGTCGCTGAACTACACAGAGGCTAAGCGATGCCTATCTAAAGAAGGCTGTTGCTTGCAGCCCTGTTTGGTTGCTGTGACCTCATCCACATTGCCATGTAATGCAGCTTGAAACTGCATTGTATTTGAAGTGTAGAGTCATATAATGCAGACTTCTTTGAGTCAGCACTGATTATATAATGCTGTTTTAAGCTACATTAGATGGCAGCGTAAATAGGGCCTAAGTTTCAAGATATTTCTATACCAAAATGGAAAATTCCTACTAGTATTAGCTATTATTAGTATTAGGTTCTTGTGGGTTTTTTCGGGCTATAGAGCCATGTTCTAGAGGCATTTCTCCTGACGTTTCGCCTGCATCTATGGCAAGCATCCTCAGAGGTAGTGAGGTCTGTTGGAATTAGGCACAATGGGTTCAACAATATACTGTGGAATGGTGGGGTGGGCAACGGTAGCATTGTCACCTTGCTGCAGTGTATAGGTGTGCATGTTTCAACTGACCACCTTCATTAGCATTTGAAGGCCTGCCTGAGCCTGGGAAAATCCCCTGTTGAGAGGTGTTAAGATGTGCCTGGTTGTTTCCTCTCTGTTGTTTCGCTGTTGTAATTTTAGAGTTTTTTAATACTGGTAGCCAGATTTTGTTCATTTTCATGGTCTCCTCCTTTCTGTTGAAATTGTCCACATGCTTGTGGATTTCAATGGCTTCACTGTGTAGTCTGACATGGTGGTTGTTGGAGTGGTCCAGCATTTCTGTGTTCTCAAATAATATGCTGTGTCCAGGTTGGTTCATCAGGTGCTCTGCTATGGCTGACTTCTCTGGTTGAAGTAGTCTGCAGTGCCTTTCATGTTCCTTGATTCGTGTTTGGGCAATGCTGCGTTTGGTGGTCCCTATGTAGACTTCTCCACAGCATGGAATACGGTAGACTCCTGCAGAGGTGAGAGGAACCCTCTTGTCCTTTGCTGAATGTAGCGTTTGTTGGATTTTCTTGGTGGGTCTGTAGGTGGTTTGTATGTTGTGTTTCCTCATCAGCTTCCCTATGCGGTCAGATATGTTTCTCTTTGATTGTTTGTATGTTGTGTTTCCTCATCAGCTTCCCTATGCGGTCAGTGGTTCTCTTGATGTATGGCAGGAACACTTTTCCTCTGGGTGGATCTTCATCTTGACTCTCGTGGCTAATAATATTATTAGTATTATTAGTATTATTAGCAGTATTATTAGTATTATTAGTATTAGCTAGTATTAGCTAGTATTAGCTAGTATTAGCTAGTATTAGTATTAGCTTCTTGGGAGGAGAGCAATGTCCAATCTCGACAAAATAGTCAAGAGTAGAGACATCAGACTGGCAACAAAGATCCGCATAGTCAAAGCCATGGTATTCCCTGTAGTAACCTACGGATGTGAGAGCTGGACCTTAGGGAAGGCTGAGCGAAGGAAGATCGATGCTTTTGAGCTGTGGTGTTGGAGGAAAGTTCTGAGAGTGCCTTGGACTGCAAGAAGATCCAACCAGTCCATCCTCCAGGAAATAAAGCCCGACTGCTCATTGGAGGGAAGGATACTAGAGACAAAGTTGAAGTACTTTGGCCACATCATGAGGAGACAGCAAAGCCTGGAGAAAACAATTATGCTGGGGAAAGTGGAAGGCAAAAGGAAGAGGGGCCGACCAAGGGCAAGATGGATGGATGGCATCCTTGAAGTGACTGGACTGACCTTGAAGGAGCTGGGGGTGGTGACGGCCGACAGGGAGCTCTGGCGTGGGCTGGTCCATGAGGTCACGAAGAGTCGGAGACGACTGAACGAATGAACAACAAACGAACATCAGACTGTTTTGTCAAACTTGGGCCCTCCAAGTATTTTGGACTTCACAACTTCCACAATTCCTAACAGCCTACCAGCTGCTAGGAATTGTGGGAGTTGAAGTCCAAAACACCTGGAGGGCTGAAGTTTGCCCAGGGGGCATATACACTGGTGAATTAATGCAGTTTGATCCCACTTGAACTGTCATGTCTCCATGTTCTGAATGTCCTACGCTCCAAAATCAGAACTTTTCTATTAGGCACCTGGACACTTATTTTTAAAGGGACTTCCAACCCTTCTTCCTCCTCTCCTCTCCTTTGGGCCAAATAAGTAAATACATTATATGTTTGAATGGTTAGAAATCAAGTTTTGTAAGTCCAAGCCTGGTTTTTAAGTAATGTAATTATAGTCCTATGTTCATCCTTAACTGTCATAATGACATCCTTTGCAAAGCTCAGAGGTCATAGGCTGCGGAGATGCCCAAAAACTCTGACTAACTCCTAATATTTCTCTCTAAACAGGAAATCCCGAGACTTTGTGGGTTGTCGCCATGGATGTTAAAGTGGAATATAATGCTTTTTTCTGTGTAGTGCGGAATTCTCACTACAGAAAAAAGTTTAAAGCAGAAAACCTGGGACCAGATCCTGGGATATAGGGCTATCTGGAAGAGTCCTAAGGCCCCCTCCACACAGCTGAATAAAATCCCACACTATCTGCTTTGAACTGGAATATGGACTCAGATAACCCAGTTCAAAGCAGATTTGTTGTTGTTCATTCGTTCAGTCGTCTCCGACTCTTCGTGACCTCATGGACCAGCCCACGCCAGAGCTCCCTGTCGGCCGTCACCACCCCCAGCTCCTTCAAGGTCAAGCCAGTCACTTCAAGGATGCCATCCATCCATCTTGCCCTTGGTCGGCCCCTCTTCCTTTTTCCTTCCATTTCCCCCAACATCATTGTCTTCTCTAAGCTTTCCTGTCTTCTCATGATGTGGCCAAAGTACTTCATCTTTGCCTCTACTATCCTTCCCTCCAATGAGCAGCAGATATCAAAGTAGATATTGTGGGATTTTCTGCCTTGATATTCTGGGTTATAGGACCTGTCTGGAAGGGCCCTAAAGATTTTTTTGGATTATCTCACCAAGATCTCTTTCACAGTCACAAATATAGCACTTTGACATACTGTATTCCTTCAATTCTAAAACACCATCAATTATAAGATGCTCATTAATTTTGGTACCAACAATAGAAAAAAAGTTCATTTATTTTTTAAAATACTATTCTCTTAACATTATTTTAGTAGTAGTAGTAGTAGTATGCCAAATCGAGTATCTTTTAAGAGCAAAATAGCAGCTAATAATAATAATAATAAGAAGAAGAAGAAGAAGAAGAAGAAGAAAATAGCTATTTCAGCACATGGGGTGTAGTGCCTAAAGACCTTGGCCTGCACTTAAACACAATCGTGCTGAAGAAGAAGAAGAAGAAGCTACAAAAGGCCACCTTACTGGGATCTGTACACATTATTCGCCAATACATCACACAGTCCTAGACACTTGGGAAGTGTCCGACATGTGATCCAATACAACAGCTAGCAGAGTGTCTGCTGTGGACTCATCTTGTTGTGTTTCAAAATAATAATAATAATAATAATAATAATAATAATAATAATAGAAACTGGTATGCAAGAAGTTTGTGCAGACAGACTACATGCAGAGGCACAACACAGTTGCTCAGATGATCCATTGGAACTTGTGCCACAAACACCATCTGCCTGTGACAAAGAACTGGTGGGATCACAAGCCGGAAAAAGTTACAGAAAATGAACACATCAAACTACTCTGGGACTTCCGAATTCAGACTGACAAGAGTTTTGGAGCACAATACTCCTGACCTCACAATCATGGAAAAAAAACAAAGTATGGATCGTCAATGTTGCAATCCCAGGCGACAGCAGAAATAAGAAGAAGAAGAAGAAGAAGAAGAAGAAGAAGAAGAAGAAGAAGTGCAAAGACTCTGGCACAAGCCAGTAAAGGTGGTCCCAGTGGTGATCGGCACACTGGGTGCAGTGCCTAAAGACCTTGGCTGCACTTAAACACAAGCTGACAGAATTACCATCTGCCAGCTGCAAAAGGCCACCTTACTGGGATCTGCACGCATTATTCGCCGATACATCACACAGTCCTAGACACTTGGGAAGTGTCCGACGTGTGATCCAATACAACAGCCAGCAGAGTTATCTTGTTTGCTGTGGCCTCATCTTGTTGTGTATAGAATAATAATAATAATAATAATAATAATAATAATAATAATAATAATAATAATACATATCTCTGGAATTTATACATCTTCTAGCTCAACTTCCACAGAAAACTGACAATAGAACTATCCTGGAGGACCTAGAAATTCCTAGGGGGATGTTCTCTTTAGGCATTTCTAGGTCCCCCAGCAAAGTATATATATGTATGTTTCTATTCTAGAGTTACCGTATATGTAAACAGAGTAGGGATGTACATTTGTAGGAGGAAGTCTGTAGTTAGTTGTTTAGTTTATGTATGTTTATACTTAGCTAAAATAAGTAATGTTATTGAATGTTGAAACTGAATTTTAAAAATGGGGGGTGGACCCACAAAAGCAGAAGGTGGGCTGGACTGCAGTTCTCCTCTATGAAAAAGATAACCCCCCTCAAATCCTGCAGCCATCATTTTCAGTTGCTGCTGTTGCCCAAGAACTTTTGCTGCCTGAGTCAAAGGGCAATATAGTACTCACTTCATTCCATGTACAGAAGCTAGCTTTCCAAATAATTCATGTTGGTGAAAACACTTTTTAGACATGCATTGTTTTTTGACACAGTAATTCAGTTTTTACTAGCAAACTGGATGTTAAACCAACTCCTAAGAGATATGGACACATACATAAATGGTAATAACGAAATGTATGGGAACACAACATATCTCCTGAAAACCTTTCATTTGTATATATTTTAATATAGAATTTATTGCTTCTTTCACATAGACTCAGAGGTCTCTCATTACTTTCGTGCGACGCACCTACACATTGCAGCCAACATGCAAACATGTCGTGACACACATTTTGGAAAGCTCTGCTGCAAATAGAAATAACATCTTCAACCAACTATAGAAGCAGCTGGTAACTTTAGGGAATATATAGGTCACACAGCTCTGTCCTCAGAGAAATTAGCACTAAGGAGAAAGAGGAGAAGCCATTGCCTCACT